CCTTAATGATTCTATGATTCTAAGTTAAATGCCTCATGGATAAACCAGATTCTAAATGGTGAAACACTGCATGTTATCTGTACCATATTCCCTGGTCTTCTAAAAGGAAGCAACTGAAAAGTCTGCAGAATTCTTATCTATTAATCCATCCATTACTTTAGGTAACCTTAGGTCCTTAAATGGCAGACTGAATTGCACGAAGAAAGAAGAAAAAAAGGGGCAAGGAGGTAGAGAGGGAAAACTACTTGACACATCTTATCTGACACATCCTCTGATCTTGATACAGGGCAAGTGTAAGAGTAGAATATAGAAATATACTTACAACTTTCCCTCCTGATCTGTGTTCAAATGGGATCATGGTGAACTTCTTTGTCTCTTTCCTATACGTGCAATAGTGCTTCACCCAACTGGAACCAAAGGGAGCAGGCCCTACATAAAATGGAAGCATTAAATAGTACGTACTTTTTCCAGTTTGTGCATTTCTCCTGCTTTCCAAAATGATACTTGAGTCCTACTTAATTCCTAATAATTTAGAACAAAGGTATGAATTAAGAACATTATACAAAGTAATACAAATGTTAACCAGTGCTTACTATTCTAAAAACTGGTATATGTAGTATTTCACATTTATGCTTAATAACAAGTGGAAGGAATTATTTTCTGACACCAAAACTCACTCCTAACTATTCGTCAGTGCACACCCTACATAGAATACACTTACTTAAGAGCCCAGCCTACTGCATACAGTATTATTGAGATTTGCACCATAATGTTAACTGTTAAAGCTTGGATTCTGACCCTCTGTATCTCCTCACTTCTATTAATTTTTTTTAAAAAGGTCTGCAAAGGAATCTTCTCTTTTGAAGGACTCTGCCCCAGAGTATCAGGGAAGCTCTGCACGAGTGGCTCAAGCTGACAGAGGATTTCACTGCTCCTAACCTGGAAGGTCTCAGTGCCCTGCTCCTCCCCAACTCAGCTTCAGGTATACCTGCCTCTGCTGAATCCTTTCATCAGCTGACTCGAAAGCTCATGATGACCAAGACCAGTGAACTGATCTCACAGAATAATGATTTTTCTTATTTTTTACAGCTAGTTCTCTTAAAACTTATTTCTGAACACTGTAATACCAATGTTTCCATCAAGAATGTTGTAGAGTCTTCAAGTTGTGAAACATTTTACAGAAGTCTTTACTTAAACAGTAATCAATTAAATATCATAGAAGTAAAATCTCTCATCAGAATAATCAAACAAACTTTCTATAGGGGCATACATCTAAAAAATATGATTTATGCAAAATGTTTTTTAAAAAAAAAAAAATTACTTTGTGGTCATTCCTAAGAGCTCTGCATCTTATTCAGCTTTTTTACTAGAGTGAGAAAGATTTATAATTGTTCAAAGTATTGACAGGATATGATTTGTGTGACATGCATCTTCACAGCAAGATTTTCAATACTAGCTACCTAGCATATAGCCTGCTTTATTTGACCCTATGATCAAATTAGGTAATGAAAGCATATCACTGAACCAAGGAAATTACAGTTAATTTCACCATACTAAACTAGCCCAATTTTCAGAGGCTAATTTGACAACTCATGTTGTTGTCTGGCAACAAATGTTTGACAGTTCTAGGGGAGATCATTAGTAAGGGATTAAAAATAACATGAAATACATCCTTTGGTCAAATAAAACTTTCCCAAATTCAGACATCTTTGCTAAGAACAGTCACGCTTTCAGCACCATGTTCTTTTTATGAGCCACGGTAACACTGCCATTAGAGACTTTGAACGTTTACTCAGATGCCCCTGTTTAATAAAATGCAAATTCTTTGCACCTTCATGTTACCTGTAGAAATAAGACTTGCCTGTATGCACAATATGGGAATTACAGGAATACAAAAATACACCTTACTTTTTTCCTGTACATAAAGATAGCCTTCCATCGTGAAGTGATTTGCTCTTTTATGTTCCTGAGGATTTCTTCTGATCTTGTTCATGAGCTCCTCTACCTCTGACCTCGTTCCTTCAAAACGATTTCGTGTCTAAAACAAGATGGCAAAAACCTATTAGTACGGAGACTGGAAGAAAGACTTACTCTTCCTGGCAGATAGGAGTTACAATAATTATTTACAAAATGAGGGAATGATTCAGGCCGGTTTAGGGTGGTAAGTGCACAATTTCCGTATACGTTTACTCTTCAAGTTTTCTGATATTCTTCAAAATTGAAGTGTGGTTTAGATATTAGCTGTTGTAACTGTGGAAAGCACACAAAGATTGCCAGAGCAGATTTCTAAAACAATGCGCTGACCTGTTCAGAAAGAAGTGAAATACGAGCGCAAAATGACTTTGGATTTGAATATTCAAGTTTCCTTAGAAAAATATTACTATAGATGTTGGCTTAATTCATGAGATTCTTACTAGTTGTCAGGAAGAAGAGGATTTTCTGTGTTTATTGAGAAAAAAGTGACAGGAAGGTCACCAACAATGTATACACGTTGAGACTATACACACGCCAAATGTTTTGATCACACACAAGCAGAAGCATGCAAAAAAAACAAACAAACAAAGTCCAGTTGATTATTACTCCTGAATGACTCTCATTCCAAAGTTTGCAAGCAGCCACAAGAGAAATATTTATTAGAATATTAGTAAAAACAATCAGAAAGTAACCACACCATTCACAAATTATACAATAGGACTACACAAAATAACAGAGCAGCTCACACCTGACACAAGAAACTCTTCAGTTAGGTCTGAAAAACACTGGCAACTGGACAATGAGCAAATAACACCACCAAAACAATCATGGTAATACCTAGTTTTCTCCACATACCCACTTGCCCAAATTGCACAAACTGAAAACACATTTAAATTCCAAGCTGGTATTTTCCCCAGTTGGTACATGTGTTTTGAGGAAAGCACATACTTCCAGATGCACGCTTATGCACCTTGTTGCTTTTTGAGAGCACCTTTATTTTTCTGAAAACGGATGAGCTTCTGAAAAAGGTGCCTCACCTATTTTTTTTTTTCCCCAGGACAAGCGCACAGTTGCATACACTGACAAATATATCATGAATATAGACAAGTATCCATTCTTGTACATAGACAGTTAACACTATGCCTCTGACTGGCCATCTGTACATGCAAATTCCAGATTTATGCTTGGAAGGAGTTTATTCATGGGCACAAACACAGTCCATGCAAGTTGGTCAGAGCAGCCACCCATACCCATACTATAGAGGAAAGCTGAAGATATTCTTTAGGTGATGACTGAAAACAACTGCCTTCTTACTTCCAGGCAAAACAACTGCTCTGAACCCTCCCCATCTCAATTTCAGGTCACATCTGCTTGCAAATTTTGGAGTTAGACCCTGCACATAAACTCATTTCCAAGGCTCCAAACAATTTTCTAAGTTCCTTTTTGTAATTTCCTAGAAAAGCTGCATTAAAAATTATATTCTGTACTCAGGACTAAGGCAAAAAAATTGAAAGTGACAGACTGCTCATACCTAAACCTTCCTGTCTGAACACTGATCACTCTGAGGTTAGATGCTTTAAATGATCCTGCCAGGCTCATTGTCTTAGCTGTGCAGTGATCACAAATCCGAGTGTGTGAAATGCACCCTGGGAATGGTGGGATGGAGCACCACGAGCTCCAAAAACCTCAAGAAAATTTCCATCTCCCTTTGTGCTGTGACAAAGCTGAGCTTAAGCAGGGGTTGACCACAGCCACTGGACCAATATGGCTATGCCTCCTCTTCCCAGGGAAGGCCAAGTTTGCTTACAGGGCAGGAGAGCGTGGTCAAGGCTGCAAGGCTCCTTGTATGGGGTTGGGCACAGAACTGAGATAGCAAGAGAAAAGTCCTGGGAGTGCAGGGGAATTTTTATGCAGGATTTTTACTAGAGAATAAGACTGTTGGAAGAATCAGCTTACTGGAACTTGGGCTACAAGGCTGGCGTTTTTTGGGTTTTGTTTTGGTTTTTTCCATTTCTTTCATTTGGGGCCGGGGGGAGTGAGGGGAAGACAGGCTCTGGGGCAAGGTGTGGAGAGGAAAACCACAGCATAATTCTCAAAGTAAAGACGACCTGAATGAAAAGGAAGGCAATTACTAGAGCTATGCTAGCAACTCTCAAATCACTCTCCATATCCAGCTAGGCTCTCCGTACTGAATCTTGTACCTTCAATTTCTAACATGTCAATCCAGTGTTTTGCCAGCAGCTCAGCTGTACCACAGCCAAGCCCCAGTTCATTTTTCATTTGGGATGTTTTGTTCATCTTCAGCATAGTGAAGAATGTGTCATGTCCTCTCATGACCTTTTCAGATGCTTCCTTCTATTCTCCTCTTACCTCAGACGGTTGTTAAGCAGTGCCTCCTTTTTCTCTACAGCTTTTTAAAATCCAGGTCGTTCTTTCTATCTATTCATAAAACTTGAGCTGTAATGCTCAATCTTTTCTGGGTTTCCTGGGGCACACTATAATACCATTCAGTCAATTGAAAATGCAGCTGTTGAGATTAGCTTGCTTTCTTATTGTTTATCACTTCTTCAGACCACTTCACTGGCTCTTTTCCATTGTAATCTGAAATCCAGCTCTTCAAAACTGTATCATAGCTTCCCTCTGGCGTTTCATTTCTTGCTCATCTTGCATCAGCTCCCCTCTACCCACTGCGGCTCCTTGCTGCTCCTCATTCTGTTAAGCTAAGCACACAGAAGAAGCAAGTCTGTCCTGAAATTTCCTCCAGAAGCAGTGACTTCTGCCATGGAAGTCTGCTTATGAAGTTACCACTACTCAGTTCCCCTACCCAAACCAAACAACCGCTCATGAGGAAATTTGAGACTTAAACATATGGGAAGAAAATTAAAGGAATGGTATCATGACACATGAATCATGTCACTATGTATTACAGCAACCGTAATCCTCTCTTCTGCCTTTCTGTCTCCCTGCTACTGCCTGTTGGTTAAGCCATTTCTAAAAATAGATTGCAACCTCTGAGAAGTAGTTTCTGTGTCTTAATTCCAGGTGCCCTTAGAGGTCAACAAAACAGACGCACCATCATTAATTGCTTGTTTGCAGTAAGGTACGTGGTTTGTCCCCTGCCAACAGGTCCCTGGCACATCCAAGTTCTGAGCAAGTTTTATTCTTCAACAAATGTCAAGGAAGCAAACAGACCATCTGACTAGTGACTCTGTCAGTCCCATTGCTTCAGCCTGTCACCTTGCTTGCTGCTCTCCCAGTCCTGAGCAGATCACATTGGGCAATTTGGTGTGAGGGTACACAAACTAGTGGTGGGCCCCGGTTAGCCTGCCCTTGAAGGAACACACCGTTTTGTCAAATATGCCATGGGTGCTAACACCAAGTCTCCTTATACAGTTCTGCACCCCAACCTTTCTTGCCTGAAAGGGCTGCTTCAAGACAAACAGAAACTCCAAGTCACACTGCCAGCAGAGATGCCAAAACCAATGCTGACAAGCCCAGCTGTTTTTCTTTCCCTTTCTTAGTTACGGATAATATAGCCCTATCAAGCAATGACCCTCAGACATGACCACCACATACTTGATTTCAAACACACCTAAAACACCGAGAACCTCAGCATTCCATTTCCCCTCCTCTGGATTCTCCAGTGTTGTGTGCATTTTAACAGACTTCAATCGTTTTTAAACTTTCATGACAGTCCTTGTGTTATGTCTCTACAAAAACTGGAAAAAGGAGTGGGGGCCTTTTACCCGGTGTTTGTTTTTTAGAGGAGCGTTAGAAATGATGAAATCAGAAGTCACTGGAATTAGCGATGATCTGTTTAGCGATGTGGTTGGTTAGCCAGGAGATGGCACCATATCCCCAAAGTTCACAGGGAATGCACTAACACCAAAGAAAGTATTGGCAATACAGATACTGTATATACAGTAACTTAAGCGTGTGACTTTATTTAAATAATTAGAAAAGGCATAGATATCAATCTCAACTTACATTTTGTATATTTATCTGCAGGGCCATTTTGTAATGACTGAAGTCTTTGGCAAGTTCATATCCCTGATGATAGAAAGTGAACAAACCCTGAAAAAATGATAGCACCTGAAATACAAACAGAAGACTTGTTAGAATGAAAAACTCCATTTACCAGAATATGATTGCTGCACGTAGCCTTTTTTGGAAAGATCAGAGATGACAAAATGATTATTTTTAAACAAATTTTCATGAATGCCTACAATTTATGAGTAACTATTTAGATACAAATGATCAGCTATGTATATAGACATTTTTGGGTGGTCTTGTCTCTGGAATTTCACAACTGATCTCTACTTTAAATTCAACCACAGGCAATGTATATTGCCTATCTCCCAAACTTTCCTATGTAATCTTTTCCTACAGCTGCTCTGATACCAATGATGTCTGGAATAAATATTTGTCCACAAGGAGGTAATGATCATTCTGTCTTTTAGTCACCATGTCCCTGGTCATTCCCCTCCCTGCTAATGACCATGTTGAGATGACTTTCATAACAGAGTCAACTGGTTTGTTCGTAGAAGGAAGCTCTCCCTCCAGTAACTTTACCTATCACTGCTTTTTGTACGCAGATCTGAGCCCCTGACAGAACCAGCAAATGATCCACGTTGCAGTTTCTGACTTCAGTGTTTCAATTTAAAAGAATGAACGAGTTACGCTGTATTGGAAACAGGGTGAGGTGCAGTACTGCCTACCTCTCCTGCTTGGTTCAGGTTGTTGGAAAGAAGCAAGTGACACAGGAAAAAACAACTCTCTTTAATAAGGAGAACAAACCAAAGAATGTGTTTAATAAAGTCTGAAGTCATATGCAAATAAACCATTTTCAAAATGCTAAAACCATAAATTTAAAGTACTATGAAGGGGAAAGGGGATAAGAATTTGGCACTAAATAATTTCAGTTTACTACCCTCGTGAAAACTTGAAAGACAAATTGAGCAACATAAAGTTCAGCCCCATCCAGAGGGAGCTTTCAGAAAAGAGAAAGGGACATGTTTCAAAAACATAATTTGAAGATTCATTACTCTAGTCTGGCTCTGAGGAAACTTCAAATGGTTTGAAACACAAGAACTGAATCCAAAACTATTTAGGATTGAAAAAAGAAAAATTAAAACCTAGAAAATTTAAAAAACAAACAAACAAACAAAAAACCCACCAACACATCAACAACAAAAAAATCCCACACAACCATTTTTCACAACATTTTCCCATTCCTTGAATAATACTAATATTTTTAAAGCAATTTATTCCCACCTAAGGATTTCAGCAATTTTTTCATACAGGAATAAGCTATATTAAAACATACAGCTCTCAATAACTCCATAATGACCAACTACTTTGATTAGGGTCATTTGGGACTTTTTTTTCATTACTACATTAAAATCATTGTATCAGAATAAAAGGACAGACTTGGCCCAAAAACACAGACTTCGGCATGTGACTGAATGGAAGTCACTTCTACAGTCCATCCTCCCTTTATCTCAGTATTACACTTACTGTTCTCTTGTTGCTTCATAAAGTTGCATTTATACTATGAAGCTAATGCATATTTCAGAAAATTTTAGAATAAGATCTCAGAGATTTAAGTAAGTTGGTCAGTACATGTATTATTTTCACTGAAATTCAGTGGAACCCCTTGATTTTGCACAGATTCAACTGCAATTGAAATCAAACGTATCAGACTACCTGATAATGAGCTTTTTAGCTAGCAGCACCCTCTTAATTAATTTATATCTGCACTTCTTCACTAACAGGCCTCTAAGTGCAACCTTCATATCGAAAACGAAATTCGTTACATTAGTCAGGAATAACATTTCAGTGGTTAAAAAAACAAATGCAAGAAGTCTGACCCCAACATCATCATCTTGAATCCTCCACTCTAATTCACACTATAAATTGAGGTTTTTGCAGTACAGCACAAGGTTTCACACATTTTCTGAAAATCAACATCAATGGATCCAAATCAACTGTAATTACTGAGGTAAGCTTTGAGATGCCTGGTTAAGTGTATCTGTACTAGGAATTTGCACAGATGTAACAAGAGTGCTTTAAATTCTATTGTTACACAATTGCATACATTTTCCCAGAAAACAGAGCTCCTTGGCTTTTGTCCAATTGCATTCCTTCTCCGTCCCTTATGAATGATAGGGTAGACTGAATTCACTGGTACTTACAGGTTCCACACACTCAAATTTCTTCCGCTCCTGTATCTCTTGCAACTTGCATACGTACTCGAGGGACAGCTCATAGAAGTGTTTTCTGTTCTGCTCCACTTGGTTATCTGCCTGCACACAGAATACAGCTAATGAAGTTTCAAAGACATTTTGCAGACAGCTTCAAAATGACACATGCATAGCATACAAGTGGCAAGCAATAAGATAATTTTCTCCAGACTGGAGTTTGTTCCTTTACAATACAATTCATTCATTTACTTTTAAATGGCAGCAGCAATTCCCCTTTACTAGATAACGTATGCTGTTTCGAATCATGAAGCTAAATTTTTAGAAATGTTCCAGTAACGCCTCTTCAAGCTTCTTTTCTATGGAATCCAAGCAAAATACATCAGAGCAGGTACTGGTGCACTGCTTTAATAGCACTGAAAAGGCTCCTGCCAAAACAGAGGGAGGGGGCTAGCGGTGTCTTCCATTAGAAAAGGGGGAAATCATCTCTCCAGTCAAACTAAGGAAGAAAATGTTATTGTTGAAAACTACATTGCTGGTACTGTAAGCTTTACTCCATAATCCAAATAACTGCTGTAAATAGCCAGAATGTTATTGTACCCATTCCACACCTGTGCTCACTCTGACTGGCAAGAAAAGCAATTTTTAAAAGTTCACTTATTGGTAAGACACTTCACAAGTTTCCACAGAGCATCAAATATTTAAAAATGCAGCCTTATTCGCTGCAGCTGATTTTTAGCTCAGCTTTGCTAAAATGCCAACACCATATTGATGGTGAACAGTTATATTTTAGCTGCCATTCATTTGTACATAAGTATTTAACTTTCTAGCATATATGTATTATTTCATTAAGTTATTATTTAAGGTACATGTGTCCTCATTAAACTATAAAACTTCAAGAACTGGGTAATGGAAACCTTTATTAAAATACATTAAAGAAAGGCTACAACGGGATACTCGAAGTGATTAACAACTAGTCTTTGCCCATGTGATAATACCAAACACTTCTACACTAAATTACAAAAGGGAATGGAGAAAGGGTTAGGTGAAAGGACCAGACTACTATCATACACTCTCTCTTAAATACTGAGACTATATCCTTCAGGCAGAACAGTGACTGCTATGCTTTAAGAGGATAAGTCAAATTAGCTTTAAGACAGTTTTGCCTTAAGACGTGCTTTGCTTTGCTGCTCTGTGCTAGAAGTCTGTCAGCAGCTAAAGGGGCATAACAACAAATGCCATTAAAAAAATAAAGCACTGATATGCACATCAGTAAGAAAATGTGTTTCAAAAAGCCAAGCCATTTTGATGCATCCTATAAACCACGCAACATAGGAATTGTTTGAGTTCTAATGATATATACATGTACTGAAGGGCAGCCATAGAAAAAGACTATGAAGTGGGTCTACTAAGACATCTGGCTAAACAATAGTAAGACTGCCCTATATACGCCAAAGCCCCACGTAAGCCTGTTTCCATCTCTCTTCTTTGTTTTTCGGTTGTTTATTGTTTTGGTTGTCTCCCCCCTCCTCCCGCAAGAATACAATACCCAACACAGCCATTTTATTAATTCCTCTCAACCCCCCTGTAAATAAATTATCACATCTCTCCTCAGTTTTTTGAGGCATGAGCCTCCCCGCGCACCCAGCAAGCTTGCTCACTGTTGCATTGTACTTTGCATACTGCCAAAGAAATACAGAAATAAGACACACACCATGCCTCAGTGAAATTTTAGGAATATCCCTCCACTAAGAGAGTCAAAGACTATGTTAATGTAAGACACGCTCTACAACATGGCATGTTTTTCATCCAATTTTTTCAAATTTATACCTGCATCCTTTATTTACTCCCGTCAGGAACTGATAGCACTAGCCACGTATAATACTAAACTAGGAAGCTCCCATGCAATTATATATCTATTTTCTAAGGTTGTGCAAGAAAGTTTTTCCTATTTAGCACTCTGACAATATGCTGCAAGTCCTTTTTTTTTTCTTAATTGCTTATACATTTATAGCCCAAAATTAAATGCACAAAGAATTTCAGAATTTTTGTTCATGAAACTTTGAAGGACATTTAAAACAAATCTATTTGTTCATTCTAGTCTTCACACATGCTTTAAAACTTCAGACTATGTTTGATACAGCTTCAAAATGCCTCTTGCAGGCATTTTGTATTTTTCCATTGAGGTTAAGTCTCATTTCAGACTTTGAAATATGCTTCTCGATATCATCAAGTAAGAGATCATAATTAATACTTTTTCATTTTTTCTGCATCAAGTTCTTCAGCAGCTGATCAATTTGATAAAAGTACAGGTCTTGACACATGAGCAATGCCCATTAACTTCACTGGGACAACTCAAGTCCCCAAAAGACACTTGTTTATGCATATGAGGGCCTATGTTGCAATTACAGTATGGAGAAGTAACATCCTAGTGAAACTCAAGAACAATCCAAGTTCTCAAGTTCCTAGCTATCTTGCCAGTTACATTAACCATTTTTTATTAAAGATGGCATAGACTATTTGGGCTGGGGTAAGAGCAGAGAGAAGAGTTATCTCTGAGGAAAACATTAAGAGTTTAATGATACAAGGCATTCATAAACTAAGCATTAATAATTCTGACATAATTACATTTCTCTGAAAAAAAAAAAATCCTTCTGCCTACAACAAGTCTCTGCAAGATTTCTCTGCTATCTTCACACATACTATTTGCCGCTGCTACAGAAATAAAAGCTATTACAAATAAGGATGATGATAATAAGCCCACAGGGACAGAAGGAATGCCAGGCAAAACAGATCTGTTTTAAAGTTATAAATTGTGAACAAACTTTTTTGTAGCATTACTTGAAAAAAACAGATCTTCAAAACATGAGAAGGAAAAAAAAAGCACAAAACCACTTCTTTTAGGAATATAAATCTTGCTGTACTTTGCATGAAGCATTAACACAGGACATTTAGTTAATGCATAAAATGCAATGCAATTTACATATCTGGTAAAGTCTCATAAGACATGCAGAGTTTTTTTTACAATATACTTGTACTTTGCTATTCCCTTAACTATATAAAAATTTAACACGATGTTCAGTACCTCATACATATCTCAAGTAAAGCCCTCGATTCAGAAAACGGTAGCGGTACACCACTAAGTTCAGCAAATACTGATCTTCTCACCAACCTTTCCAGTTGACAGAAATTTTCCTTTTACCACTATGAATGCTGGTTTTGCATTTGCATAAAATATATTTACCTATTCAAAACCCTGTAGATTGCATAAAAACAGAAAGGCAACAATACCTCTTGTAATTGTAGCTCTTTCTTCCTAGCTGATAAATTCAAATGCTTTTCTAACAAACTGTAGTTCTTCTCCGTCTCTTTATCAAACTTCTTCTTTTCCTCCTAGACACAGAAAAAAAGTAACATTCATTTACATATAAAAATGTAAGAAAAGCCTCCTCCTTTCTTCTTTTAAAATCTATTTAATCAGAAACAAAGAGAAACAAACTATCATAGCTCCAATAACTAAGAAAAAGTGTGTTTCCAATGCATTTTTAAAATTAATTTAAAGGCTAACTTGAAATGAAATCCCATTGCATCATTATGGTGAAGTTTAGCACAGGAATGCTTACATCTTCTAAGTTTAAAAAAGCCAAAAAAACACCTCTTCTTGTTTTATTGCATTTTTCATTATTTTCAGGGATCATCTTCGTTTTGAGTAGAGGACTTCAAGGGAAATACCAGTTTCACAGAAAGTTCTTTTTTTCAATAATTGACAGGGGGAAAGTGTAAAAACATCATTTGAGTAAGGTCCCAACAGTTTCACAGTTCAAAACCCAAAGCAAATACAGCTCCATATTCCTTCGGATTTCTTGATTTTAAAGTCACGCAAAGACCTCTGTGCTGAGTTCCTGCTTCTACCAAACTGTTGTTGCGCCCATAAAAAAAAGGACTTTTAAAATAAAGAAAAATCTTCATTAAACATAAAATCTTGCTAGCAAAACAGACATATATGAATATCATTTGCATGTGCAAATCCATTTCTCTGACTATCAAAAGCAATGTATTGGAAAAGGGACAGCCATTAAATGTTTCTAGGAAATCTGAGTTCTTGGATCTAATTTAGTAGAAGACATTGTAAAACAACCCTTTCATTTCCTCAGTTCTAGTTTCTTAACTCTGTGTGTTACGAGAAATCAGTATTGATGAAATCAACCAACCAGTTTTGAAGCTATTTTTAGTATAACTAGTTGCAGCTGAAAATAATTTAAAATAAGTAAAATCAAATATTAAATTACATATTCAAGAACTGACAGATTTACTCATCAGAAAGAAAACAGTTCAATTAAAATATTTTCCCATCATCTGTCAATTTAGAATTGCATTTAAATGTATTCTACCCAACACACTGGTTAGACTCTACAGACATACTTGCTCATTTTTTTCTTTTAACCTTTCATTTTTAATAAGTAATACTATATATAAGTGATACACATCTGTGTTCTCTGAATGATTGGATTCTGAAAATGGCATTCTATTAAAGAGGGGATCTAAGCTGTTTACGATTGCTTCTCAGCAAGGAATTTTAACAAAAATGTTAGGTTTTTCTCCATTATGAGTCTAAGAACTTCCTTTAAAAACCAGCCACAATATTCTTTACCAACTAAGAAACATTAAGATATGCATACGGTATTAGTGTGATTAGAGATAATGTATTAGCATATGGGAAATTAGGAAGAAAGTAGAGTGGGAGGAAAAAGAATATCTTTGTGTTTATATTATATTTATATTGCGTTCATATTAGCAAAATTTCCATTGATCTGGTCAACACTTGAGTGCTGCCGGAAAAAGAAAGAGCTATTTGATTGAAGCTATTTGATTTGAAGCTATCAACTTCTAAACAGGCAAAGCCAGAAACTTTACACGTGTAGCTTAGGATTAGAGCAGCAACATCTTTTACTAAGGGGTAATTCAATAAAGGTCTCAGCTTCCAGAACTACGGAACTAAACTTTTTTCCTTTTCTTTTTCTTCTTAAGCCTAACTCAGACAATTTCATCAGCAGGGGATGTAAGATACAGGAAAATCTGAGGCGGCAGATTCAACTTTTATTTTGTAATGGTAGAGAGCAAATTTTTCCTAAAGCAAATACTACACAATGTTCCATATATATATTACTACTAGATGCCATAATTTGGTTTTCAGAGCTAAGCAGTATTATACTTCCAGGGACAGTACTTTGATTATATTGAATAAATATTCAGTTAAGAATATTCAGAGTTAAATCTTTTTAGAGGATTTTTAATTAAATGTTACACAATTATGCAAGGCTGTTCTATTTAAGGTCACCGAGAATTCTGTCCAAAAAAATGGCTAAATCACAAATAAGAGCTTCAACTTCACAGAAACAGTATGCAGGGAGACACAAGGGAAGAAACATCCATCCAAACAAAATGCAAGATGTAGACTGTGTGAATGTGACTCGCAATGTTAGAAACGTTAGGGTCAGAATTCTGGCTAGGAAATGAGTGAAGATCATGAGATAGTTTCAAGCATTAGGAGTTCTCACCCCAAAAATGGCAGTGTCTTTAACACCAAAAATACTGTTGAAATAATCCATTCATTACAGCTGCTTCTATGACAACAGATTACATTTAGAACAAAATCTCTTTTTCCTTAGAAGATTCCCTGTATTACAGACCAAGTTTTTATTGTATGTTGGTTGGGATGTCTGACGTGCTTCTCAGAAGTCCATAAAATTACACAAAGCTCATCGTACTATTGAACTGTAATGACTTATGATCAACAGAGCATCTTCCATTCATGAATACTGAAATCATATTCAGAACATGTTAATCATGCCTGCTAAAGTCAAAATGTATAGCACTCTTGTAATTGAAACATTACCTTAGCTATTAAATATCACTGCTGATGAACTAATGAAATTATAAAATAAAGAACTGTGTTAAACAGCTGTTTTTCTTCTTTTTTTTTTTTTTTTTTTTTGAATAAGCATTTAAATTTCTTACTGGAAGAAGGAAGGTAGACAGGTACAAAGAGGTAAAACTTGTCCTTGTTACTTTTATCCAAAGCTAGTCTGTATTTAATACACGAAGTTTACTTTGCCTTTTTTTTTTTTAAATATACACAACATAGTGACAATCTTAAAAAAATTACTGAACGCTTTCACCAAAAAAAAAAAAAAAAACCAACTTTCAATGAGATCCTGTCTTTAACCTTTCCATCTCTAGAGGCAATGAGTTATTTATTTAAAACAAAAAGTAAAACAAAGGCAATTTTCACTTTGCAGGTTCTAAAAATATAGTTAAAAGCATATGGATGAGCTCCTTTGGGTAGTTAATATTTTTCAGCCTTTGATTGTGCAACTGCAAGCAAATACAAAGCAGAACAGGGTTACCCATTAGGAAGGCGGGCAGGCTGTTAGCAGGACTGCTCCTATTCCAGACACAAGAGATAAGGGAGGGGGGGGAGGAGCGAAGGAATGGAAAGGACACATTCTTCTCTTCTTGAAACATACTTTCCATTTGTTTCTGAAGCAAGTTCTCAAAGTAGGAAAAAAAAAGTGTGAATACATGAAATATAAACAACAGTATCCCTCTGCCAAATACATGTCATTACTGCAATGCAATCCAAGTAGAGAAAGTAAACAAACTTATGAAGGCAATGAGGCACAAACCTTTACAGCTCCTAGCTGCTCTTTCCTAAATCTTTCCAAAGGTTTGATCAGAGTTTCAGTAACACTGAGTGCCTAAAGAAAAAAAAAAAAGCATGTGTTAGGTTTCTGTAGCCAGACAAGTCAGTTCAGCATCAGCAATAAAAAGAAAAAAGCAAGCAAGCTCTGCTGTAAAATAAAGAAAAGCATGCAAGTTAGGAGTCTTAAGTCCTAACTCAAAAAAATCACATCTCCGAGTTCATTCAAGCTTTCAAAATTTCTATCACTTATTTCAATCCACTGTAGGAAAACTAAATCTAAAACAAATGCAGAAATTTCAGAAATTTAGAGGCTGCAGCCAAACTGCAACTGCTTTACTTGTGCCAGTCTTGAAGATCAGGTTGATGGTCTCAATGACTGAACACCAGAATGAGACACAGGACAAATGATTTTCATTTGGGGACACAAAAATTTCTGCAACAAGAAACACTACAAACAACGGCAGAATGGACTACTGAGTAGCAAATAACAAGCTTTTAACACACAGCTGAAGCCATTAGGCATTGATACATATATTTCCAAATATTTGCATTTAATTACATTAAGAGAACCTTAATTTAACCTAAGTTGTAAAATCAAGAGGCGCAAAGTTAAGAAACAAGAGGTTTAGTTGACTGGGTCAGCAGCCACCAGTGCGCTTACGATAAAACAGCCTCACAGCCATACTAAGAGAAACAAAAAGGACACAATATGCCATTATAAGACAGAAAACTGTAGCTTATTAGATCTGGCCAGCAAACAGTTTCTAGTTCACAGGAAATTTCACTGGAGACGGAGCAGGGTTGGGTTTGGTGCAAACAAGACTTAAAATTTTAAACATGTTTGAAATTCCAGCAAAGGTTGGAACTTCTTGAATGCAACAGCAGCACAGAAAAGATGGCAAGAGCGTCAGAGGTGTGGAAGAGCAGGTGGGATCCTTTTGGTCTCAGTCCTAAGGCAGACCCACAGAGTAAATCGTAATCGGGCTATCACAGCCACGGGCTGAGCTGCCAAGTGTCCAGGCAGAACTCCCTGGAAGCCCACCTTAGATATAACAGAAGGCTTTCTCTCTCTTCCCCCCCTAACAACCCCCTCTCCAAATGTGAAAAGTTTCAGATAAAACATTGCAGGCTTAAACCAGCCTTCTGGAACACTTTTGAAAAGCTCTTATCATAAAACACAAGAGGGATGTATTAGAGATCTGGCACAACACACATCTGAATAGCTCTGTCTGCTCCCACCCACCCCCAGAGCCATGCAGGGATTACTGTAGGAGTCATCCTGCCAATTCACTGTAACCAGAGCAACCCAGATTTTTAAACAGCCACGGCAGCATGCTAACCTATGTAACTAACTGGAAACCCAAATATCTGGCAAGTCTGGGCCAAATTGCATGTTGCACAGTCATCCATACAACAGGTAATTCCTAACTTCAAAGCACCACTTCTCATGGCCCAAACTTTTTCTTTCTGCACCCATTTCCTGATTTTGTCAAAAATACTTAAATCACCCTGCAGTGCACCCTCACCAGGAGCAAAAGAAAAAGGAAATCTGACAATTTTGTCTTCCAAAAGTGTAGAGCAGCACCAGGCTAACGACGACACAGGAGACCCTTGCGTGGAGCTGGAGGGTGGGGGAAGGACAACTTCTGCCACGTCTCCAGCCCAGCAGAGATATCCCGAAGAGTTCATCCCAAGGCTTTGGCAATGCTCTTGGCAGCTGGAGAACCATTCGTTCTCTGAGCTGCCTCTGCTCCCACTGAAAGAGAGCCAGGGCAGCCAAATGCCCCAAACAGGAGCTGAACTGTGGTTCTAGGAAGGATTTAGCCCACCTGGCAGCCTGTGCACATACATCCTAACTACTCAAGCAGTTACCAGGAGTCTCCAGGGCAGTTTTTAGGATACTCAGGTTTTTCCAATTTTGTCAGGTTCTCAAAACTTTCCTGGAAATTCTTAGGGGCTGAAAGGAAATGGCAATTTGGATTTATAATTGGATCAAGCACCAGAAACAGTCTCCTGGGACACAGCAGAAGTGCCTGAGGACTGAAGGATCTCTCTTTGCTGACCGCAAGCATTCTTACAAGTCAGAGTGGAAAACTGCTCGCGGAAATCACAGAACAGTCCTTCTATATTGGAAAACTTTAAGAAGTTTAAATTGTTTCTGCCAGTTTCCTCTATACTGACAAAGTGAGGGACAAAGCTATAAGGCGTCCTCAGAGCAAAACTCAGAGAGGATGATGCTAGCTGCCAGGATGTAAGAGCACCACGGTTAATGGAATCACTTAAAAGCATTTAAAGGTAGCAACTGAGCACTTAAATGGTCAGAAGGTTGAAAACAAATATCTAGCAACAAGTTATCTGTAAGTTGTTTGAACTTTTATACAAAAAAAGTGAAACCTAAGATCAACAGGCAGTGAATGCATGCTGAACGTGAAGTCCGAGTCAAAGAACAGCACCTTGATGTAACAGAAAGAAGAAAAAAAAAAAAGAAAAAAAAACCCCACACAGAAAAGGCTGTGGTTTATAAACCAGCAGGGCTGGCTGCAAACTACTTGGTCTGCTACACTCTTGTGCAGCATTAACCATGGGAACCACTACTGGAATTTGTTTGAAGCAGAAAATAATCTTTAAATCAAAATGGGATGTTCCCTCAGCGACTGCCAACAAACAGAGATTCCACTGCTGCCAGTGGTATGATATGCGAGTAACTCTTTCATTAAAAGAAAAACAAGCCTCCTCTCTTTCCAAAAAAGATGCTTCTCATTTTGCTCAACTTAAACTTTTTTTAACAGATGCCTCTTCAGCAGAATTTTGCCTGCCATACAGGTATTTATGATTTGTCACCCTCTTTGCTTTCTGTGTTTGGGTTAAACAACAGGGCTCTTCAGTATTTCTTGATGAAGTGGGATTTTGTAGATCTTTGGTCATTCTCATGGAGCTTCATACCAGGCCCACACATAAAAATATAAGAGGAATATTTCCTCCTCAGTGAAATGAGCACATATGTGAGTTTATATGTGTATAAACAGAAACTGTCAACCAAGACATGACTGGTAAATTTAACGGTGAATCACAGAGCTGTTCTTCTGACTAGGAGAAATAAAAACAAAGTTCATAATTAAAATATGCACCGTACTAAATTAAATAGGGAGGCATTCACACTGTTTTCCAATACTTAGAATCCAGTGCTTGTCATGAAAAGCTACAAAAAGATGTGTACTTATTTATGGAACAAAAACATCATTTACACTACTATTCATTGCTAACTTTATTTATAACTTGGGAACGCAAAACAACCCTTTTTTTTTTTCTTTTTTTTTTCTTTTTTTTTTTTAAAAACCATGGATAACAGATCAGTAAACAAAAAAAGTAAAATTCTCCCAGTATAAGGAAATAAGCTAAGGATCGCTTGAATATACTTTTCATTATCACTTGCACCTTCCTTAAGAAGTAGGACCATGTTAAAATGTAAAATTTCCAAGAAAAGTTATATTAGGCATTTAAGTTAAATATTCCTTCCTCTTTCAACTTCTGTTTTGACTCTCAAATTAATTTTCCTCCCTCTACTCCTCTAATCCTGGCAGATTATGATGACAGGAATGTACTATTTAAAGGGCACAAAAAAAATCCTTTTTTTCTTTATCTCTCTGATATATCCAAACCTACCTGAAAGGAATATGTACTCAATTTTAAAATCTGGCAGGCAAACTATGATAAGTGTAAGTCATAAGTTAATCAATATAAAGAGGTCACGTCTCAGGTAACAGTATCTTAACCAGCTTTATGAATGTCAAAGTCTCAAGAATGCTTTAAGAAATGTTTAACCCGATGGGCACACGTGCCTCGGGCAGACAGTCTGAAACTGCTTATGCCACTCCTGTTCTATTTGCTGCACCTATGGAAAGGTCAAAGAATCAACTTAACTTGAACATAAATCTGGCAACAGCAGTAAAAAAAAAACCCCATCATTGCCATCATCATCTCAGAAGATCACTGTATCCAACATTTCCAACAACATCTTAAAGCAGGCTTTCAGCTTTGTGTATACCTCCTCATTTCAGATGCCTTTACAAAACTCCATCTGCTCAGGCAGTGAAGTTGTACAGAATGGTGATAATCCTGACTTTTCCAGCTCCATATATTTCAAAAGAAATAAGTAACAGATTGCAGATTAAGGGGCCCAAACCAACATTTCCTAGAGCAGCCCACCAAGGCACAAAATAAATCCATTAGCAAGTGCATTTACAGCTCCTTGCTACTTCAGCAGTCAAGTCAACAAGATCCAACAGGTAACTTACCAGTCAGTGCCAGTCCACAAGATGACTCCATTTAGCCTGTCACTTATTCCCTTCTCAGACAAGGTGGGACTATGGCTGTTTAGGGAAAAACTGCTTCCCCAAACACCTCCTCCTATGCAGTGTAACCTGATAAGACAGCACCATCCACCAGCATTCAATGCTCCTTATGCTTTCTCACCCCCCTGCAGCAGGCAGGAGCAGTCTGCCTAAGCTCCCACTCCCCTTGCGGGCACAACCAGGCTTGTCTTGCAGAGGAGGAAGGCTGCTTGCGTGGGCTGTAAAGGAGCATCAACCCACAAGAGCTGTCCCAGAAGCAAAGTCCAGCCCCTGTGGCTACAAAGACTAGACCAACCTAAATTAATTAAAATTTGTTTTGCTTATTAGACAAATGCAACAGCGGCCTCCCAGCTTTCATCCTAAAAATGTCCTTAGACCTCAGCCTTTACTGGAAGAACTGGAAATTACACATTGTTCATCAATAGCTCTGGTGGTGAGGTAAATATGTATGCTGATTCTGCTCCATCCTGAATCTAAGCATTCTCCCAGACAAGACAGGTTTACTGAGAAACAACAACAACAAAAAAAAACAAAAAACAAACAAACAAACAAACCCAAAAAACAACAACAACAACAAAAAAAGCCACAAACATACACCTTGCTGCAGACTGCACAGCAACACAGGAGTGCCAAGTTCCCAATTCTCATCCCAGGAACTGGAATGCAGATTAGATGCCAAACAAAAAAGAGGAGTTTAAGTTTC